CTGGACGCTTCGTGACTATAGGACGGTGGAGACTGATCAAGGCCAGCTCTGGAACTTGTCTCAAGTGCCGCCCCTGGAGTTCTGGTTGCAAGAGAGAGCTGGTGCGATTTGAGCGGCAGACCGCCAGTCGCTAGGCCAGCAAGGTGAAGTGCTGTCAGGGTACCCTCTTCTCTGGGATCCCCTCTAGCCTCTCCTCCGACCCCTGCCCTCCTCTTGAGGCCCGAACCATCAGAGGGCTCTGAAGAGCCTCATGAGTAACGCGCACTGGCCGCAGGCTAGGGTGCACAAGCACGGGTGGTATCAGCGTAGCGAATGGAGGCCGCGCCAGGAGGAAGGAGGTACGCTCTGGCACAGACAGCATCGGTGCGTGGCTCATGCGGCGCTGCGCAGGGACGGAGTCTCGAGAGACTCGGCGCGCCGAGCCCCCGTTCCCTCTTGCACTTTTGCCCGCTCAGGAGCCTGAGCAAATGGCTTGTTGGATCCACCGGCCTACGTCAGGCAGGGTGCTGGACTGACTGTCGGACGAGTCCGCGCGCTGGCCTGGGATTCCTGTGGTGTCCAGGGCGGGCTGGGCCCCTGCTCAGGCGAACCGGCCTGGGCAGTTGGAAGCTGCACACTACGGTCCAAGGCAGACGTCCAAGGACGCCGAGGATTATGTTGTGTACGTTCATACTGTGACTGTCAACGGGATCCTGGACGATCGATTTGCACTGTGACTGCCAAGGGGACCCTGGACGTTTTCTGGAGTGGTGTCGGTTCGGGGGCGCCTGCAGGAGGTCCCAGGACCCACCTTTGGGGGCCTTTTCTGGTCCAACTTCGGGTTGTCTGACTTCACTGCTGCGAAGACGGCGGCGCACTGCACGGATGCGGATGTCCACGGTGGCAAGACCGCGATGTGGGAGAAAAAAGACAGCGAATCGGCGGAAGTGTATGCCAATATGGGAGCCCCCAAGCATGAGGCAACTGAGGCTGACCCCAATGTGTGCAGCAGTTTAACATGTTTAGCTGAAGAGACTGCCCGTTGGGCAGCCCAGCTCAAGCTGCAAGTGCGGCCTGTTTTGAAAACTAGGCTGGACACGGCGGGGCTGGATCCGAACGGAGCCCAGTCTGTTCCCACGCCCTTGTACGCTGTGAGACCGACACCCCTCAGCGCGCTGGCGTGGCACTAGTGCACTCTTTTCGGTGCAGTGCACATCGTGAAGACTTCAGGCCAAGCCAACTCCTGAGGAGTGGGTGCAAGGGTCATCCCAGATCGCCTCAGGTTCGGAGCCAGCTGACGAGATTCAAAGCTGGCAAACACCCTCACGGTATAACCTCTTCCAAGAGATCGTTTCTTAGTGGCTCCCGTGGTTCGAGCGAGGCTAGGCGGGATCGTTTGGCTTCCAGGCTATCCCCTCCAGCCTCCGCCGCGCCCGCCGGAGCGATCGGCCAGTGTCAGCCAGGCCTCGCGACCCACGAGGAAATCCCGCAGGCGCACAGCATCGACGAGGGCAACCTTGGCCAGTGCAGGGCCCTCGACGAGGCCGCCCGCAAGGTTCCAGAGTATCTTGAGGGTGAGGGGTCCTCGGATTATGAAGGGGAGCTTGTTGAGTGCTTGCTCAGGGCTTTAGGTCGTCACAATGAACCTCCTCCTCCTTTCCTTTTCCTGGTCCTTATAAGTAGCGTTTCCTGTCTCACCCCGAGGCTGGTTGAAAGGGCTGGCCGGGCGTTCCGCCGGAGACTTCATTACCACAAAGAATCATGAAGCTTACGAACTGGCAACAATTTCACGGATGATGAAGGGCGGGTGGTTTTCAAACTGTGGCTCTCGCCTTTGCGCTGCGCGCAGTCGTCTTAAACGTCCGCAAGAGCTTCACGGATGGAGGGCGTGTTGTTCTCAGAATGCACTTATTGCATTAGGGCCGCGTACATTCGTTTGAACGGTTTGCAAACACTTCACGGATTGAAGGCGGGCGCTTTTCAAAGGGTGGCTGTCGCCTTGGCGCCACGCACATTCGTTAAGCCATGCAGGGACTTCGCGGCTTGAAAGCGGGCGGTTTTCAAAACGGGTCCCTCGCCTTAGCGCCGCGCACATTCGTATAAACATTACAAGAATTTCGCGGATTGATGGCGGCTCCTTTTTCGAAGCGGGGTTCTCGCCTTAGCGCCGCGCGCACTCGGTTTAAACACTTTCAAAAGTTTCACGGGCTCCCATGGTTAACGTCCCAGAAACAGCGTTTTGGAACGATCCAGGCTTGTCAGGGCGTAGTCACGTTGATTCGCTGTGTCGAAGTCCCAAAAATGGCGTTCTGGCACAATTCAGGACCGTCATGACGCCACAGTCAGGTTGACTAGTGACGCTGATGTTCCGAGAACGGTGTTTTGGCACGCTTCAGGATCTTCGAAGATATCACTCACGACGGGGCATTTACCGCAGTGACAATGAATCATTCTATGGGCCTGTGAGCCAGTGGGGCTTGGAGTGAAGGTTCATTTCAACATCGTTGATGCGTCTTGGGCTTACACGGACACGGATCCCCCTCCTCCTCCTCCTTGTCCTCCTCCTCCTCCTCCATCCCTTTTCCTTATGAATAACTCCTCCCTGCCGCACCCCCAGGCCGGTCGGAAAGGCGGGCTGGGCGTTTCGCCTGGGACTTCCTTACAATGTATGATCCTGAAGCTTGAAATCTGCCAAGGCTTTACTGATGGAGGGCGGCCGGATTTCGAAATGTGGACGGATGGGGGACGGTCCGTTTTCAAACTGTGGTTCTCGCCTTAGCCGCGCGCGCATTCGTATAACAACCTTACAAGGATTTCGCAAATTGGGGGCGGCTCCTTTTCAAAATGTGGCTCTCGTCTTCGCGCCACGCACACTCATCTTAAACATTTGCAGAGGTTTCACGGATGAAGAGCGGACTGTTTTCAAAATGTGGTTCCCACAGTAGCGCCGCGCAAATTTGTTCCACGAGGTTGCAGCAAGTTCGCAAACAGTAGCATGGCTAACGTGCCAGAAATGATGTTTCGTCGCGGTGTAGGAATGTCAGAGCGCAGCAGTCACGTTGATTCGCGGTTTCGACGTTCGGGGGACTGGTGCTCTGGCACCAGTCAGAATCGCCAGCGCGCAACAATAACGGTGACTGTCGGCGTCGAAGTCCCAAGAATGGTGTTCTGGCACAACTGCGGATGTTCAATCGGTTGTCTTCCAAAAGAGCATTTCCTAATGAATCCGGGTATGAGCCAATGAAGAGAGAGCTTGGATGGTGGGTTTGTTGTAATGTCGTTGATCAGTCTTGGGTTTGCTCTAGTCTTCCTCCGCCTCCTCCTCCTCCTCCTCCTCCTCCTTCTCGTCGCCGTGGTCCCCAGACAACCGACGTCGCATTAGTTTCACTGCGCAGGCCCCCAGAACTATCAGCCCAAACCGAAAAATCAGACTTCATCACGAATCGCTCGAATCGCTTTTACCGTGAATTGCTCTGGGGGGATACAGCACCCAAGACGACGAACTCGTGACCGTCAAACAAATCCTCAGGATGAAAGCCGGCCCCAGGTAAAATGTCAAGAGCTCGAGAAGCTGGACACTCGAAACATGTCGGATCGTCGGAAATACTGAAGAGGGGAGGGAGGGAAACACGAAGAAGGCGTCGAGAAGAAGGGTGAGACGTCGTGCTGGGCAACGTTCGCTGCATCACTACTTGCAAACGAACGGTTGTGCATCTATGAAGGGGCCCGAGGACACACAAATAGATAGACACAAATCCCAAGAAACCAAATGTGTTATATGTTCTGGAGTTTCACCTTTCCCTCCCAGTTTCCATATTTTCAAAGATTCCGGGGCATCGACGATTATTTGTGTCTGTGTTTCCCCCCTCCGGATGAATGCAGGCAGAAGTTGGCGTTGTCCTCACACCGCGCCGCGGGGGGTCTACGATGAATCGAAGTGCGTGTTCCGGCGGCGCTGCGCATCTAGAAGCTATGTTATAACTGGGGCGCCACGCGCTTCCCAGAGGTAAGTCGGGAGTGTCCTCCTACAGGCGGATTCTGGAGGAAACAAAAGAAATTGCTACAAATGCGCAAGAATGATCAAACACAGCCGAAAAATCATCCCCCGACAATTTTTTTCCTATTTTTGAAGCTTCCTCCTGTAGAGGGACGTGCCCGACCTAATATCCCAGCGGTGCGTTGATCACCGGACGAGCGGCAAGTACCGCGCGCCATGTACAGAACCCCTTCCGTTAAGTCGGGCGTGTCCCCCTACAGGGGGATTTTCGACGAAAAATCAAAAATAGTCAAAAACATACTACAAAATAGTCAACAAATACTCAAAAAATAGTCCCCAGACTATTCTGTGATTATTTTTGAAAATTCCCCCTGTAGAGGGACAGGCCAGACTTAACCCTTCCGGCACGCTGCGCTTACCTGCGACGATGCGCCACGAACCGCAGCACAGGAGGGACAGCGCAGAAAGCTCGTGGACATGGGAAGTAAGGGCTCCCAACTTCGCGCTTCGCGCTGCGCGCAGCGTGAAGTGCGAATCACCTCGCGCTCTCGCGCCGCCTCCCAGGGGAGAAGAGGAGGAGGAGGAATCGGAGCCGAAGCGCGAAGCGCGAACAGCCTCGCGCCCTCGAGGGCGCCCTGGGGAAGGAGCAGAGGAGAGAGGAGTGCGGCCGAGGGGCGCCGGCAGCAGGACGAGCAAAAAAACACCGCCCGCGCGCGGCCACGGAGGCCGCGACGCGCACGGCGCGCGCCTCCCGAGCAGCGACACGCCGAGGGCGGCCACGCCCCGGAGAGGCTGCCCCCCGCGCGGGGAGGGCACCGAGCCCCTGTGGGCGCGCAGCCTCGGGCGGGCCGAGGAGCCCGCACAGCGGGGCGGGGCGCCAGCGGCTGCAGGGGCCCGGGGCCCAACGGGGTGCGGGAGAGGACCGGCGCGGCCGCGGCCGCGCGGAGGCGCCGGAGCAAGCGGTGCCCCCCCGCGCCTGCGCGATGCACCGCGGAGCCGCAGGGGCGGCGCAGGGGCTCCGGCATCACGTCTGGGCCTGGATGGCCCTGCGGTGCCTGCCCCTCTTCTTCAGCCTCCTGTGCATCTGCACCGGCCCACGGCCGCGGGCCCACGGGGAGCCGAGGGCGAACACGCCGGCGCGCTCGTACAGCTTCACGACGGGCGCGTCGTCGGGGAGCTCCACGCCCGAGCAGCCGCCGACGCAGCGGAACTTGGTCACCCGCGCCCAGACCTGCACGCTGGTCGGGTCGCTCATCACAGCCCTCCTGGCGTGGGGGTAGAAGCCCACCTCCCAAGCGTTGAGGCCCTGGGTCACGCCGAAGGGTGGCAGCCCGTTCCTGGAGCTCCACACCACCGTGTTGCCCCGCTGGGCCGTGTGCCTCAGCCGGGCCGAGATCTCGGCCGTGTGCAGGGACCTGTTCAGGGTGAAGAAGCTGGAGACCCTCTCCCAGGAGTCCCTCATGGTCGGGTACGACAGCTTGACGAGGTGCCCCATGTCGAGGCCCTGGGCGGACGCGAACTTCTGCAGGTCCGGGGGCGGCTTCTCGTACAGGAACCTGTCGGCGCCGGGCACGCACATCCGCAGGCGGAGGGGCGGGGCTCCCGCTGCCGAGAGCCTCCGCACGTCGAGCCTGTCCGAGCTGCACGCGCTGCCGACGTAGCACCACCCAGCCTGGGCCGAGTCGCTGACCTCCCCCATGTTCTGCTGCAGGCAGCCGTCCGTGTCGAGCCTCGCAAACACCCGGTCGCACAGCTCCCGCTCCCACAGCGACTGGAAGAGCCCCGTCTTCAGGTGAGCCCCCGTGCCGTTGCTGCTCCTGGGCAGGAAGAGCTCGTAGCCCTGGCCGCACCGCACCCCCCTCTGGGTGAAGACGTCCTTCCAGTTCAGGCACCGGCAGTCACCGCTCACGGCCGAGAGCAGCTCTCTGTGCCTCCGCCGGTGGTCCTTCTGGCGATCGGCCGCTTCTCGGGTGGATGAGCCCTTCAGCATGATGCCAGTCGTGGAGTGAGCACTGAGCGTCGCAAGAAATGCTGTCATGACCATGGGACTGATCCACGCCATCGCCGCACAAAAGTAACGCGACTTGCTTGATGTGTACGACGATATTCTGGTCCGGATGGGGTCCCGTACCAGGCTTTATCAGAGTGGGTGGCTCCGTCAGCCAAACTGCCTTGAGCCAAGGATCGAGACGGAGGGGGGGGACGACGAGGGCGCCTGCAGTTGGCGTTGGAAAGATAGCGTGCGTCAAAAATCTCCGAAAAGCACGCTGTCCCTCCGCAAGAGCCCCTTCGGTGCACACCATCCCCCTGCCAGGGACTCTTCGGTGCACGCTATCCCCAAGGTGGGGGATAGCGTGTCAGAAGCGGGCTGGCTGCGCCGCATCGCACGCTATCTTTCCAACTCCAAGAATACGTACTGGCTGCCCGAACCCGACACGCGAGACCCCCGAGAGGCCTCTGGGAGGTCACAGAAACGATCGAGCGTGCCACAAAGAAGTCCATGCCGGCCGCGCCGCAGGAGCATCTTGCGAGGATGATCCAGGAGTGGACCTTGATCGCTGTCCAATCTTAATTCGTCGCGTCAAGAGGTGGACGGGAAGGGTGGGCCGTGTAAGATGGTAGTGCAGGTGTGCTGCCTCCTCCTCCTCCTCCTCCTCCTCCTCCTCCTCCTCCTGTCTCGTCTCTTTCGTGCCCGCTCAAGCTTTTTGTGCTCAACTCGGCCCGCGTGCCGTTTGGACCTAAGCGAGCCCACCTCCGAGGCTCGCCAGTGTGGGGCGGCGGTCTCGGAACGACGCCTCGAGACTTCTTGGTCGCAGCGCTGGCAAACGCACGCCGCGGTCGGAGCCTGCGCGGGGGCGCTGCAGGGCGAACCGTGCACGCGCGGGCGGGGGGCAGAGGAGGGCGGCCGCGGAGGGGGGAACAGGGGAAGGGCGGCTGGACCTTGGAGCGCCCGGGGCGTCAACGCACACCATGATACACCTGTGTTCCGGCAGCCCCAAGTGGCCGGGTAAGGAACTGGAGGCTCCGAAGCGGCCTGGCGGCCACATCATTCGGCGGCGCGCCCAAGGGGGAAAGCAGAGGGGACGGGCCTGCTCAGAAGGTCTGAAGAGTTTTCTGAGCCTGCTGCAGAGTCCCGCCGCCTTCTGAGAAGGTCTGACGCAAAAACGGGGGGAGGACAACAACAACCACCACCACCACCATCACCACCACCACCAACAACAGCAGCAGCAACAGCAGCACCGACAACAGCAGCAACGACAACAGCAGTAGCAGCAACGGCAACAGCAACAGCAACAGCAACAACAGCAACAACAGCAACAACAGCAACAACAGCAACACCACCACCACCAACAACAACAGCAACAACAACAACAACAACAACAACAACAACAACAACAACAACGACAACAACAAGCACAAAGCGTCGACCTTGAACGCGAGAAGAGACACACACACAACACAAAAACATGCCCCAAACATGGTTCGCATCACCGAAGGAGGTGGCCCTGGGCGAGCGGATGCCTCTCGGGACCCGGGTCGTCCTCCGACGGTGCCTCGCGCGCCTGCGGTCTCCCCGAGGGCCGCCGGAGCTATCTGTGCCGGGCCTCGGGGCCCTGAAGCCATCGGACAGGTCACGAATTCATTTTTTTTTTTTTTTCTTTTTTCGGGGGGGGGAGGGAGAAGATGGGAGCGGGCCGCATGATTCAAGAACCACCGCTGTGTGTGCGTCCGTTCCCACACGCTTGGTGAGGAAGAGAACGGCTTTCAAGTGCAACCGGCGGACACGTCACGAATTCATGCCCACCACGTTGGTCTCGCTGAAAGCTTTTAACGGCCTCTGTCGTCCTGCGACTCGCGCTGGAACGGCCACGATTTGCTCCGAATGTTCCTGGAAATATTTGGGTATACCTGGATCAGCCTGGATGTGCCAAGATTTACCTAATGTGTCCGCATTCGTTCGCCTTGATTTATCCGGCCTGGTCCCCACATCGGCGAAACCTCGCCAAGCCCGTGGGGATAGTCCTCACCTTGCCAAAAGTAATCCTGGCACAGGGCGGCCCAAGCTGTTCTTAAGTCGGGGACGCCCCTCGACAGGAGGAATATTCAGAAATGGCCAAAAGATAGTCTGGGGACGATGTTTTTATTCCCCATATCCGAAGAATGGGGTCCTTGTTATTCCCCAAATCCAAAGGACGGGGTTCTTGTTCCCCATATCCTGAGATAGGGGTCCTTGTTATTACTTGGACGCCTCCTACTCCTCATTCCTCTTCTTCTCCTCCTCCTCCTCCTCCTCCTCCTCTTCCTCTTCATATCTGAGACTTATTCATACACAGACGTACTCATACACAGACTGACTCATACTCTGACCTGATCAGATTCACTTACTCATACTCAGACCTACTCATACTCAGACCTACTCATACTCAGATTTACTCATGCTGCGACTCACTCACTCATACCCAGACTTACTCATACTCAGACCTTCGCATTGTCTGACTTACTCAACACACAGCAGATTGTGAGGATGTCTTTCAGGCGGGGCGCTGGTTTCAGCACCCCTCAAGGGAACCGCCGAAGGTTATTGCCCGGTCCCGTTCGCGGCCGTCTTGTGGGGATGTCTCAAGCGGTTTGCCCGTCTTCTGTCTCAACACCCTTTGCTTGGAGAGCAGATTGTGAGGATGTCTCAGGCGGGGCGCTGGTTTCAGCTACCTAAGGGGAGCCGCCGAGGGGTGTTGCACGGTCCCGTTCGAAGCCGTTTTGTGGGGATGTCTTAAAGTGTTTGCCTGTCTTCTGTCTCAACACCCTTCGCTTGGAGAGCAGATTGTGAGGATGTCTCAGGCGGGGCGCTGGTTCCAGCACCCCTAAGGAGAGCCGCCGAAGGGTATTGCACGGTCCCGTTCGCGGCCGTTTTGTGGAGATGTCTCAAGCGGTTTGCTTGTCTTCTGTCTCAACACCCTGCGCTTGGAGAGCAGATTGTGAGGATGTCTCAGGCGGGCCGCTGGTTCCAGCACCCCTCAAGGGAACCGCCGAAGGTTATTGCCCGGTCCCGTTCGCGGCCGTCTTGTGGGGATGTCTCAAGCGGTTTGCCCGTCTTCTGTCTCAACACCCTTCGCTTGGAGAGCAGATTGTGAGGATGTCTCAGGCGGGGCGCTAGTTTCAGCACCCCTAAGGGGAACCGCCGAGGGGTATTGCCCGGTCCCGTTCGCGGCCGTTTCGTGGGGATGTCTCAAGCGGTGTGCCTGTCTTCTGTCTCAACACCCTTCGCTTGGAGAGCAGATTGCGAGGATGTCTCAGGCGGGACGCTGGTTTCGGCTACCTAAGGGGAGCCGCCGAGGGGTGTTGCACGGTCTCGTTCGCGGCCGTTTTGTGGAGATGTCTCAAGCGGTTTGCCCGTCTTCTGTCTCAACACCCTTCGCTTGGAGAGCAGATTGTGAGGATGTCTCAGGCGGGACGCTGGTTCGCGCTGGTTCCAGCACCCCTAAAGGGAACCGCCGAAGGTTATTGCCCGGTCCCGTTCGCGGCCGTTTTGTGGGGATGTCTCAAGCGGTTTGCCCGTCTTCTGTCTCAACACCCTTCGCTTGCAGAGCAGATTGTGAGGATGTCTCAGGCGGGGCGCTGGTTTCAGCACCCCTAAGGAGAGCCGCCGAAGGGTATTGCACGGTCCCGTTCGCGGCCGTTTTGTGGAGATGTCTCAAGCGGTTTGCCTGTCTTCTGTCTCAACACCCTTCGCTTGGAGAGCAGATTGTGAGGATGTCTCAGGCGGGGCGCTGGTTCCAGCACCCCTAAAGGGAACCGCCGAAGGTTATTGCCCGGTCCCGTTCGCGGCCGTCTTGTGGGGATGTCTCAAGCGGTTTGCCCGTCTTCTGTCTCAACACCCTTTGCTTGGAGAGCAGATTGTGAGGATGTCTCAGGCGGGGCGCTGGTTTCAGCAACCTAAGGGGAGCCGCCGAGGGGTATTGCACGGTCCCGTTCGAGGCCGTTTTGTGGGGATGTCTTAAAGTGTTTGCCTGTTTTCTGTCTCAACACCCTTCGCTTGGAGAGCAGATTGTGAGGATGTCTCAGGCGGGGCGCTGGTTTCAGCACCCCTAAGGGGAACCGCCGAGGGGTATTGCCCGGTCCCGTTCGCGGCCGTTATGTGGGGATGTCTCAAGCGGTGTGCCTGTCTTCTCTCTCGACACCCTTCGCTTGGAGAGCAGATTGTGAGGATGTCTCAGGCGGGGCGCTGGCTTCAGCTACCCAAGGGGAGCCGCCAAGGGTGCTTTCACGGCTCCGTTTGTCGCCGTTTTGTGGGGATGTCTCTAGCGGTTTGACGCTCATTTGAAAATCCACAATACAATATTACCTTTTAAAAAAAGATGGCCATATGGGGAGCTCCACGCAGTGAGTCATTATTCTCCGACCGCGCCGGACCACCCCTCCCCTCCTCCCTCTCTGCACTAGACAATGATGCTGATTGTCATGATGTGACCATGGTATGGTGAGAGTATGATGTGAGTATGATGGTGATGCTGAATGATGGATGAGTATGATGCTGCTGATGATGATGGTGGTGATGATGACGATGAGCAGATGATGAGGCTATCTCGAACGGCTTGCTGGTTTTAGCACTCCTAAAGGGGGGGGGCCGCCAGGGGTATTGCACGGCCTCCGTTCGCGCCCAAATGGTGGGGATGTCTCAAACGTTTTGCCTGTTTTGGTCCTCAACATCCTCCGCTTTCGGAGCATAGTCTGAGGATGTCTCAGGCGGGGCGCTGATTTTCGCACTCCCAGGAGGGGGGCCGCCAGGGGTATTGCACGGCCTGCGTTCGCGCCCAAATGGTGGGGATGTCTCAGCAGTTTGCCTGTTTTGGTCCTCAACATCCTCTGCTGTCGGAGCAATTCTGACGATGTCTCAGGCGAGACGCTGGTTTTCGCACTCCCAGGAGGACCAGATTTCGAGGATGTCTCAAGCGGTTTGCATGTTTTGGTGGGCAGGCTCGTCTGCTGTCAAACCAGACTCTGAGGATGTCTATGGCGAGGCGCTGATTTCCGCACTCCCAGAGGGCCCAGATTGCGAGGATG